CTTTTCTCAACCTTGTTCCCAGGGTCACCGTCTCTCTTCTTCCCGCCAAAAGCGAGAGAAAGAGACCCTGGCTCAGGCTGGTCACGTGTCTCAAATAAACGATTCGAGTGTACAACACTCGCGTATATAGTCGCAATTTTCCTTTTAATTTGTCCAACAAATGTTTGAAACGCGATAAAACGTTATAAAACAATTGGCTCATGCTTTTAGCTGTGCGTATATCGAGTTACGATGCACTTGGAAGTTTGGAGCCTCAAGAAACTAGAGTCGCCCCGAGAAACTCTTACGCTTCTCTTGCGCTCTCTAAACTTCCCGCGTTCATCATAACTCGATATAATATACGCACGCTAAAGCATGAACCAATTGTGAAATGTTCGCCTGTGCGGTTTCTTATAGGAATTTCACAAGGAGGGTAACAATACCACAGTTGACCAGCACAGGTTTCCAGCGCCAGTGGCTGCAAGATACATTCGCTTTCATCCAACTAAGCAGCATAAATGGAATTGCCTCAGAGTGGAGCTGAGTGAGTTGACATATTTAGATTTAGACCGAATATATGTTAGCGTGTTATTTTTATTAAGTTCCCCATCTGTACATTTCCTCTACAACTGAGCGATTATCTTATTTAAAAAAATAAAGTCAGAGTTGTCAGCCGCTCTTGCTGTTTTCAGAAAAGTGTTATTGGACGATCGATTTTCCTGTTATTGAATAACTTGAGAATAGCTGGGACTCGATGGGACAGCGCACAGTGTCCTCCCCTAGAAAGTAGCGATCTTTTTTCATGCGTGTCTGCTTTACTACAATTATACTAGTACTCACTTGTTGGCAAACGTTATCTAAAACCATATGTAACTTAATTTTATAAAACTCTTATGCTACATAGGCAATTGTGACAATAATACTGTTGGTATTGCCAGTCCCAGCATCATTCCAGATAATCAGATGAAAGCTTCATCTTACGTTGGCGAAAAATACCAGCCCACTCACGGTCGACTCAACGGTACCCTAGGCTGGTGTGCCGCCAGGAAACCTAACAGGACTGATGACTGGCTTCAGGTTGATCTTGGCAAAACAATGCAACTATGTGCTGCGGCCACCCAGGGATACAGAGATAGAATTTCTAGGATTACAGACTTCAAGTTGTCTTACTCTTCTGATGGAAACACGTGGATCACATATCAGTATGGAAATGGAACCGATGTGGTGAGATTTTATTTTATTTTTACAAAAGGTTCCGAATCGAAAGAAAGTGTTCTGACAATGATTATAACGACGATGATGTGACGATGAAAATGATGACGATTCCGATGATGATGACAATGGTGATTATGGCGACGATGATGATGTTGTTTGCGACGACGACGATCGTGAAGACGATGATGATAATGATGGTATAATGACGACGATACAAAAAATGACGACGATAAAAAATACGATGACGATGCCAATGAGGATGATCATGAGGAGGATGAGGATGATAATGAAGATGATGATGATGATGGTGGTGATAGTATAGTGATGACGACGATGACAATGATGAGGATGAAGATGAGGATGACGAAAATAATAATTTTAATGATGCCTTAAACAACATTTCATTTTAATTGTTAGAGATAAACAGCTTCCCGGTGTATTTTTATAGGAATTTCACAGGGAAGGCGATAGTAACACAGTCGACTATCACAAGTTTCCAGCGCCAGTGTCTGCAAGATACATTCGCTTTCATCCTACTAAGCAACATAGCGGCGGCGATAAATGCCTCAGAGTGGAGCTGTATAGGCGGGTCGACTATTAAGAGTGAGTTGTTATCTTTATTTATTAAGTTAGTTAAAACCAATAATAATTTTTATATGTTAGTCTAATAATTTTTATATATTATCACACTATTTGATGATGCGATGTATCAGGGCAGGTCTTTCATATATCGACAAATTATAAAATTCAACTACGCTAAGAAAAGATCAATCTCCTGCATCTTTCATAAAGTCGTTACGTCGGTGTCTACAAAACAGTAGACTCCAGAACTGTGATATATATGTAATTGGTATACACCTATTTCAATTATCGTTGTCGGATAGAAATGTTAAAGCCTGCAAGACAAGACCGAAAGGTAGCATGGGTCATTTCAAAATAGAAAACTGAAATGAGATATTAGTAAAAATATACTGGTATACTAATGCAAATGAGACAATCTGATTGGCTGAGCGACTCGTATACTATCAGCCATTAGTGTGCAGTGGCTGGAGGTCGTCTACAAAATTGCCGTTTCTTCTCGTTTCTCGGCCGAAGTTTTGGAGGAGAATTTGGAGTTAATACTAGACAATTGTTGTGATTTTTACTAAAACAACATCAACTATCACATCATAGAAATTGAGAGCGAATAATCTAATTGTTAATTAGTACCTGCAAAAAACATTATTTCTAACGTTTCCTTTTTGTTTTAAACCTGTAGAAGTAAGCTTTTAGCCAAATTATTTTTTAGCAGAATCATAGAACAGCTAGTAGAAAAAAACATGGAAAAATCTAATTCGGGGCACAGCAAATACATCACGTCCGAAATCAAAACTTGTAGATTTCTTTTCCACCGATATGCAAATTCAAATGAATACCCAGACTACCATTGGGTCTTGTCTTGTAGGCTTTACGCTTCTATCCGACAACGTTAATTGAAATAGGTGTATACGACACAAGTGAATAGTACTTTTTGCGCGCTCTGATTAGCTACTCGTATCAGAGAAACAGTGCAGAGAGTTTACGAGTATCAGTGTTACGTTCACAGCAAGACAAGTTTATTTCAATATGGCGACCTGTGAAAGCACATTGTCTCAGCATGCAAAGTTGACTACCAAGCCTAATCCTACAGTATGATCAAACCCAAATTTTAACAATGTTTGGTAACAAATTTTTTAAATTAATTTCATAGGATTGCAAGGTTAACTGTGACATCATTTGCTTTGGGCCTTCAGAAGCCTTCGACATCAAAGAAAACGAACTCACATGCATACAGTGTTAAACGCGTTTACCGGAATGGCTCATTGTTTTGTATTTTACTACTTGTCACACATAAATGTCAAAATACAAAGGAGGTGCGCTTGTAAATAACAAAGTAGTGTCCTTTTAAGGCTATATCTGAAATCCACCTGTATCACATGCGAAGTATATGTATCGCATTAGAAGGTTTAGTGTGTAGTGATACTGCCTAGTATTTCCAGAGGTGAATATAAGAACTGATCCGTCCTTCTGATTGGTCGTGACTAGCCTCCTTGCAGGCCATATCTGAAATGGCCTGCATCACATGCGAAGTATATGTATCGCATTAGAAGGTTTAGTGTGTAGAGTAATACTACCTTAGTATTTTCAGAAGGCAATATAAGAATATGTCCTTCTGATTGGTCGTGACTCGTGTCTTGCAGGCCATGTTCGAAATCCACCTGCATCACACGCGAAGTATATATATCGTATTAGACAGTTTAGGGTATGGTAATACTGTCTCATATGAGTATTTTCAGAAGTGAATATAAGAAACCATTGGTCGTGACTCGTGTCCTTAATTGCAGGCCATGTTTGAAATCCACCTGCATCACATGCGAAATACTTGTATCGTATTAGACAGTTTAGTGTGTAGTATTACTATCTAGTATAATTTTCAGAGGCATCGTCAGTGCTTTGGAAAAGACCCCTTTTACTCTCATAGTGCCTCTCTCTTTAATCAGGTAACAGTTCCCCTTAAATGCAAATTGAATATTCAAGCCTCTCGTCATGCATACGGTTGCGTCTGCGAGGTGTAAGCCTGGTCAGGCCCCGAGGCTCCCTTTCCTCTTTCTTCCACTGACTCAAGGGAAAAACCTGCTACCATGCAGGGATGTGTATATATTGTATAGTTTACTTTAATTTATCGAATGATTCTAAGGTAAGCGTGGTTACCAATCGCATGCGGAATTTGGTAGATAACGTACTTAAGGTCTGGCATTTTTAGTCATTGATATCCTGAAATTAGAGCAGTGAATGAAACATAGCACATCATATTCCGTGTTGTGTTTTATGACATATTATTTCTGGGGTAGATCCTTGCTTGTGTAGCCGCAATATATAGTCTTTATCTTTTATTAAGACTAGACTGATACGATGACAGCCAAGGGCAATAATTGTGTTAAGATAAGATAAGATAAGATAAGATAAGATACTTTATTTAACCACGTATCACTGAGGAGCTGAAAGAAGCTCGTTAAAACGTGAACGTGAAGTGTTTCTAGCAAACAATGTACATACTTTCTCTCTCCTATCAGATAGCATATTTTACTTAGGTCACAATGAATTATATATTACTTTTTAGCAACGTATTATATTCTTAGCATAATATAATATTTAGCGTTTTTTAGCTTCTTACATTTGATGCAGGGCCACTCTGGATATAGCTGAGCCGGCCTTTAAGCTGAATGAGCCATCCTTTGAAAATAGATCAGTTTACTTAACTTCACTCTATATTGTCAGTCTTTACGGATTGGTCCAGGTGTTGCATGTATAAATTGTATCATTAACACTTTTTGCCTTTTTATCAAGTAGCATTAAAGGTAACAAAAAAGCATTCGTTTATTAATTTTGTTGAGTTATTTTCATATCCATTTTAAATCTCTTTCACTGAGTTCTCTTAAATCTTGTTACATTTCTTCCGATATCGGACCTTTTGATCAGAGTACGAGTACGAAATTGAGTACGAGTATGAGCACGACTTTTCAAACCCAGTGCGCAGGGTTTACATTAACACGTCTAACATCAATCTTGTTCCTAGAGTCTCCTTCTCTACTGGTCAGCAACAGGGAGGAGCGAGGGCTCTGGGAACGTGACTGATTTGAAATTCGAAAAGTCGCACTCGTACGTAGTTAATTGAAATCTCATAGTCGTATTCCGATCTTAAGGTCGCTATATATTCATCACAAACTCCTGATAAATATAGAAACCCTACCAAATTAATCATTATAATTATACATGGAACCGTGTTAGACGTGGTGGCCTAACGGTTAGCGCGTTGGACTCCGGATCGAGTGGTCCGGGTTCGAGAGCAAGAATCTTTAATTTCACAGTGCCTCCGTCGCGGCAACCTGTCAACAATACTGGGGGGTTATCTGCGATGGACCGGCATCCCATCCAGGGGAGTAGCGATACTCCTAGACGTTTCATGCTACGGAAACCGGAGTTAACTGAGCACCAGCCTGAAATAAGGCCACTAGTCTTTAGACAGATTTTTACTGATATATGGAACCGTTTCTCGATATATATCTAACTAAATACATGGAACCGTGGGAGATGTGTTGGTCGAGTGGTTAGCGCGTTGGACTCCGGATTGAGTGGTCCGGGTTCGAGAGCAAGAATATATATATTTACTTTCACAGTGCATCGATCTCTTCACCTATCACGGCAACCGGTCAAAAATAATGGGGGGTTATCTGCGATGGACTGGCATCCCATCCAGGGGATTTGCGACACTCCTATAGTCGTTTTATGCTACGGAAACAGGTGTTAAGCGCTTGCCTCAAAAGCCACTAGTCTTTAGACAGACGCGAGGTAGGTATGTAAAGCCGTTCACTGGCATGGAGCCTTCAGTCATTCCGCCATGTTAGTTTCCCCAGCTGAGAGACGGGAAGGTGCGCTTTGTTGGTTAGAAGACCGCTGCCATCATGCCAAACATCGTCACCATATTCTTGTAACAGTTACAACCTCACTTGGGTTGGCCACTCCGCATGCGTATCTGTCAGTTCCTCCGCCCCAGTACGTCATCTTGTCGCCATCACGTGACACCCACCATCCGTAAAATGTATTTGAAGGGTTGTAATATTAAAGCACACTCGCGTGGCATTCGTATATGATAATAAACTGTCCGAAATTTGTTGAGAGTTCTGTTAGCGCTATAAGTTGAGCTACGTCTGTGAATAATTGCCTAGATCGCGGTAGCCTTTCACAAGGGTTCTATTTTCACTGTAATGACTGACAGCTGTCACTCCAACGCCCTCATTCATTTGCCAATCATGTCACAGTAAACAGTGACGTAATAATTATAATCGATCGCTATATTCGGTATTCAGCTAGTCGAACCTCCGCTAACGGATACCTCTCGTAAACGGACACTTATGTTCCAAGCTACATGCAAACACTACATTTTTAACCTCCCATAAGCGGACACCTCTCTTAAGCGGACACTTTTTCTGGGCCCGAGGGTGTCCGCTTACGGGAGGTTCGACTGTAGTTTTATGGTTTTATTTTATTTCAAAATGGATACATTTTCGTATTCTACAATTCTTAACAGTATAAGTATACACCAAAGTCATTAGTCAGAAAATCAGCCCCCGCATGTGTCTTTTGATGTAGACAGACATGACTATCTAGAAAGTTTTCATCAGACTATGTAAATACACTTGGCTGCAATTAATCAATTTATTTTATAAAAGTGAAAAAAATGTCATGTGATATAGTCCAAAGATTCACATTTTCCTGTGACTGCATAAAAGTAACGTATCGGTTTGGAGGCAAGACGTTGACCATTTGGGTACCAAATAAACATGTTTCAACATGAATTTTCTAGATCTGATGACAATAAGCACTAGCTTTGACAATAATTGGGGAAATGGCTTAAGCACACAACTCAAACTTATTATTTTACAAACTTTACAAACAAGAATTAGTTGCAAGTTCAATTGCGGTTACTTCCTTCAGTTATACAAATATTCTGATTAAAAATCACCACCAGAGTAGACGTACACTTGTGATAATTTGGACTCTGTTACAACTGTAAATTACTTGTAATATTGGTTATAACGTCAGTTTGCTGTTACATCCGACATGCAGTGATATTCCCAAAAGTGAATATTGTTTTGCTGGTACCAACTAATACCATTGTTTTGTGAAATGTTGACTTTTCCACCCACAGGAAGAAGTTGTTCACAGAACGAAATTGTCAACAGGAAGAAGTTGTCTCTTTTGAGTTTATAGCATCGTTCTAAAACAAACATAAATGAAGTGTTGTCGTCTCAAATGCAGGCCGGTGATTGGTTCTGAGTATAGATTGGCACCGGGGCACTGAGTTTGGTTCCTCGCCCCTATCATGCAGGGTCAATATTCAAAAGTTTTCTTCGATGAACTCCGTCGGCAATCTTTCTATCTCAGTTACTGGAATGCTTTATTCGCTGGAACACTGGGCTTGCTCAATCTAAAAGTAAGCGCAAGGTGAGTATTACAAGGTGTTAAAGGTGTCAAAAGTCATTTCTTTCGCGTAATTTGTTAACCGCTTTCGCGATTTGCGCGCGCTAAGTTTTATGAAAAATTGGATTATTTTCCCTCAACTCATTTTAGTACTTTAGAAAACTTCATGGAGACATAGTTCTGAATAGCTTTTCTTTACATAAGCAATTTACTGGCGAACAAAGTCCGACTTTCTTCGAAGCGGGCAGATCCCCACCGTCCCGGTCTTCTGAATAGGGTTAAAACTGAATACAATGACATTGTTAACTGAAAGAGAAAAATATAATTTATTAAAACATTGTCCGATAAGGTTGTACCACTATCAGTAGCGCATGGTTAGTCGACTTTGGATGTCGTACAGCGCGCAATAGTCCATGAATTGAAGAAAAGTAAGGGCTTGATTTTTACCCACTCATTTGAGTACCAAAGAAACACGTTTCAACAGGAATTTTCGGAAATTTAGTTCGGATGACAATAATCAATCTCTCGACACACTAAACATTTTCGGTAAAAACAGTGTAAAAATAAAATTGCAAGAAAGAAAAAAATCAGAGACGGGACAGGGGGAGGAGTCTATGGGAGGCGGGAAAATAGAAGGTGGGAAGCGGGATAGTGACGCATTTTGTGGCACTTGTCACATTTTGTGAGCCTGCTCGCAGGCTATACCTGACGCACTTTGTAATAACACTTGTCACATTTTGTGAGCCTGCTCGCAGGCTATACCTGACGCACTTTGTAATAACACTTGTCACATTTTGTGAGCCTGCTCGCAGGCTATACCTGACGCACTTTGTAATAACACTCATCGCACTTTGCAATAAAACTGAGCTGTCGATGTCGCACTGTGTAATAAAATCGACACTGATGAGCTGTCGCACATTGTAATAACCGCCTTCGCACATTGTCGAGCTAAATACGCTTTACCAGAATTATTATTTTCAATTTATTTTAATTCCGTTCGTATAGTTTGTGGGCCCAAATTTAATAAAGTCCGGATCAACAATCCCCTACAGCAACAAGACTTGGACTCCAACAAAATATATCGTCTCGTGTTCTGCGTGCTGTATTTGGCAAATTCTGCGACCTCTGTTCGCTTCTTTAAATCTGCCATGAAATGTTTTTATGTTTTGTGGATTTCCAGCAAGCAGGCCAGAAATAAGAGAAAATAAGAGCGAAATAAAAGCGAGAAACAATAGATCCTGTTCACGCGCTAAATATTTTCTGTTAATAGATCGACGCGTACGACTCGATTCCGGCAGACGATTCACACAAATTACTTGGGGGGCAGTATTGGGTTGATTGGTGCAATTTGGTGTGAATTTTGAGGCCCAGATGGTTTCAAATGCGTGTTAATATTTCTAAGTTGCTTTCTATTATTATATAGTTTTGTTCTAAACACTGTACACGTGCACTATGAAAATAAGAAAGTCCAACAATACAACACAAACTGCAAGAAGGGGCATTTACAAGGGACCTTAGGGAAGATGAATTCCTGTCTTCTCTGGAGGCAGTAGGTTTAGTACTGAGTTTTTCCACAAACTATCCAAAATAATTATTTTGAAAAAGTTTATTACAAAGTGCGAAGGCGATTATTACAAAATGTGACAAGTGTCATTACAAAGTGCGTCAGGTATTGCAAATTAAGTGCGACGAGATTATTACAAAGCCAGGACAGGACACACTGCCGACAATTATCTTAGCGAACATCTCAAGAAACACTGAAATAAGTGTCTTCAACGCGGTTCACACGGAAGGACACGTCCGTGAGTTGCGATTGGGATTTTTATCCATTTTTGTGTTTGTTTCTTTTTTTCAGGGTCCGTTGGTCGTCATCGTAATTATGATTGACAGTAGCCTGCGTGTCAGGCGCAGAAAGGGGAGGGATGAGCGAAGTTCGAGCGCTCTCGCGGCAATGTAAAACGCAATCGTTAGTTGGATTTTGTTCGGGTTTTATTGAAAAGCGCAGTAATGAAAACAATGTCAATCCTGCACCCATTTCAAGCATGTAAGCTGGCTAATCGTCGCACTATTAAGTCAAGAATGTATTATGCTTATAGGATCCGTTATTAATTTTGCACAGCCGTCAGAAACTAAACCAACAAGTTATAAATGAAAATTCAATTCCAAATATTAGTGAATTCAAACTACGTGGTTTTGATAGTTTTATTACGATCAGAGATAAGATGAAATAGATAAAGCGTGAACAGTTTTGGAAATGGATCGCTATATTCGGTATACTTTTATATACACCTATTTCAATTAACGTTGTCGGATAGAAAGCGTAAAGCCTACAAGACAAGACCGATTGGTAGTCTGGGTATTCGATTCATTGTAATTTCCATATCGGTTGAAAAGGAAATCTACAAGTTTTTATTTTATTTTCGGACGTGATGTATTTGGTTTGCCCCGAATTAGATCATTTGTTTTTCCATGTTTTTTCACTAGCTGATTCTGCTGAAATTAAGTTTGGCTAAAAGTAGCTTACTTCTACAGGTTTAAAACAAAAAGAAAACGTTAGAAATAATGTTTTTCATGTTACTTCTCATTAGTATTCGGTGCGTGCAGCAGTTTTCTACTTTTAACCATATGCATGCTACCTTTCGGTCTTGTCTTGCGGGCTTTGCGGGCTTTTAAAAACATTTCTATCCGACAACGTTAATTGAAATAGGTGTATATATTTTTAAATTTGACAAATGAATAAATTTTCGTTATTCAAGAAGTATACACCAAATTGGTAAGACATTATTCAGAAAACCACCCCCGCGTGTGTCTTTTGACTTTGACGTAGACAGACGCACTATCTAGAAAGTTTTCACCAGGCTATGTAAATACTTTGACAGAAACTGGGCAAATGAAAAGTACTT